TTTGATTGTATACGGAAAAAGTCAATGGGGGTAAACTGATCAAATAAAAATAATGCGAAATCTAAATGCCAAATTAATTTTTGTGTAATAATTTAAGAGGCAAAATAATATTTTTCCATATATATATAAGTAAAAAAAGTGAGTGAGTGTGGCTTAGGTGAGATGGTTGCGAAGTTTTGGAGGCGACTGAAAAGATCTAGTACCAATGGTGCTGGCCTTCAATGGAAAGTAGTGTGGTTCGAGGGGATTCTATTTACACCTAAAAAATTATTAAAGACTTTTAATTCCTCAATACATTCTATTGAATTATTTAAGATTTTATATTATTCTCAATACGTCTTATAATTTTTCTTAAATTGCCTTTCAAGTTATATCCAAATAATAAATAAAGTACAAAGTTATCATATTCAGACTTGCAGTGCTGAACAATATTGTTTGGTTGGATTTTTAGATCCAAAATTGCCGAACAAAATGAATCTGTTCGAATATGAAAGTTCGAACAACAATGACGTTAAACCTGCCAAATATTCGTTTGTACGTAAAACAAAATATAAAAATCAAGAACTGTACTTTGATGTTTATGTGAATACGTATCTCATTTTTTATGGGTTGTTTCAAAAACTAATTTTCATTATTATTCTCATCCATTGCTTAATTTTGTTCAAACTTCTTTCCATTCACAAGGATAAGAAAAATTGATATTGATGATAATAGTGAGTTTTGGTGAGGTGGTTTGGAGTTTTGGTGTGAGAAAGAAACAGAAGAGAAAATAATTGAAACTTATGGAAGAAGATGAAGAATACATTTGAGTTATTAGGGTGTACCATAAGAAAAAAAAAATATTTTATTTTAGATTTTAATGTGTGTTGGGCCGGCCCAAACTGAGGCCTGGGAAGGAGGTTTTTAGAAAGAGAAAGAGAGAGGTGGTTTGGAGTTTTGGTGTGAGAAAGAAACAGAAGAGAAAACAATCGAAACTTGAAGAAAAAGATGAAGAATACGTATATGTGATTAAAGTATACCATAAGGAAAAAAAAAATTATTTTAAAATTTAATATATATTATCTTTATTAATAAATTTATAAATTTATATTAAAATATAATAAAAAATATTTTAATTAAATGTACTTAATGACTTTTCAGGTGTAAATAGATTCACCCGTGATTTGAGAGAAAGGAAGTGCATAACTTTATTTAATTAATTAATAATTATTTTGGGCAACTATAGGAGAAATTATTTTTTCACTCTTGGAATACTGTCATATGATAAGTAAAATAGTAAAACATAGGACGCTTAGTCTATAAATTTAATTTTACATTTCTTCGGTATAAAAGACTAGGCACTAAATTACCTTATCGATAAGGACGTGTTTAAGCAAAATAACTAAATTACCCGTGATGTACATTAACCATCTCTCTTCCCATCAAATCCCATTTCTCCAAACCTTCTCACTCTTCTCATCCATATCTTTCTCTCATCTTCTTCTCATAATCTCGTCACACTAGAGCTCTGCCGCTTTCTTCCGTCCGCACTAGTACAACTTTCCACTCTCAGACAGACGGACAATCCGAGAGAACGATACAGACATTAGAAGATATGCTCCGAATGTGTGTTCTGGATTTCCAGGGAAGTTAGGAAACTCATCTACTGTTGGTAGAGTTCGCGTACAATAATCGTTACCATTCGAGTGTTGGAATGGCACCCTATGAAGCTCTGTATGGCAGACCATGTCGCTCCCCCGTGTGTTGGACTAAAGTTGGAGACAGGGCATTGTTACGGCCTGAAATTGTTCAGTTGACAACAGAAAAGGTTAAAATTATCAGAGAAAGACTGAAAACCACCCAAAGTAAATAAAAGAGTTATGCAGACAATCGACGGAGAGATTTGGAATTTGAGGTGGGTAATCATGTTTTTGTGAAGGTTACCCCGATGAAGGGGCATCTAAGGTTCGGCAAGAGGGGTAAGTTGACACCCCGATATATTGGTCCATTCCAGATTCTGGAGAAAGTAGGTTCTGTGGCTTACCGAGTTGCTCTTCTTTCAAGTATGAGTCAAGTGCATAACGTGTTCCACATCTCTATGCTTCGAAGCTACCTTCCGGATCCGTCTCATGTTATTGATTACCACCAAATTGTGTTGGGTGATAAGTTGACTTATGAAGAAAGACCAATTCGGATTTTGGATCAGCAAGTGAAACAACTGCGAAATCGAGAAATCCCTACGGTGAAAATTGAATGGAAAGAACATTATGGGACTGAAGCTACTTGGGAAAAAGAAGAAAAAATGCAATACCAATATCCGTATCTGTTCCTATCCTAAGGTAAAACAAGTTCGAGGGACCAAACTTATTTAGGGGGGGAGAGTATAATAACCCAACCCTCGTACATGTTTTCTGGTATACTTTCAGTCTCCTATTCTGTGCATTTATATGCTTATTGTGAAATTTCGTGCGAAATGAAGTTTAATTAAGTGAATCTTATGAATATAGACTCATATCTGTCTAATAGGAGAAGTGTCTCTTACAATTATAATGTTTGGATCAGAAATTGAAAGCCATAGGAGCTTAATAATCTGAAATTGATTTTATATTTAAGATCAGCATGATTTTTAGGTCATAATATGATTTTCTATGAAATTTTGATTTGGAACGACTAAACTGATTGAATTTCGTCCTTATTCACCTTTTATATTTATATCTATGTTCTTTAAACATTTGGTTGAGAGCCATTACACAAATATCTCCTGAGAGAGAATTTGAAGAGGTGAATTAAAGAGGAAGAGGGGTGGTTCAACAAGGAGGAGGATTGGGGGATTTGAGAGGGTTTGTGGAAATTTAAGCTCAAGGCATGTAAACTTCACCTTAAATAAACTCTTTCTTGGATTTGAGTAAACATGCCCTTCTATTTGGGTGAGCTAGGGTTTAGGGTTGAAGTGTTGTATGTGATCATTATTTAATTGGGAAGTTGTACTTACCATATAGTTGTCTTGGGAAGTAATTTGAACTATATGAAGAAATTGCATCTTGCTTCCTTGTTATTTCATGTGGGAACTCATTTATGTATTGGATTATGTGATTAGATGGCTATATATATATATGTATATGTTTAAGTGAACTAAAAAATAATTAGAACTTTGGAGGGAATGAATTGTGTATATAGATTTGAGAGCAATGAAGGCTTGATTGAACTTGTGATCCATATTTATGTGATGTTGTTGAGCCATATTCTTATGCTAAATTTACCTATTTTGAGCAATATAAGATGTCTACCAAGTTAGGTGTTTATTTGAATTTCGGACTGCACAAACAAGGCAGAATCGTCGCACGTGCGGGGCTCACAGTCGCACGTGCAGAAAACGGGGGATTTTGGGATTTGGTTACTGGAAAAAAGGCACGTGCGGGACCTCACAGCCGCATGTGCGGGACCTCACAGCCGCACGTGCGGGAACCACTGTCGCACGTGCAGGGCTCACAGCCGCACGTGCGGCCTATGCTAAGAAATCTTGCTTGCTCCGTTTTACGTGCTTGACCCTCTGATATTATTAAAATCTGTATTTGATGCCTTTAAATGTTTGTAAATTCATTCGAAGCGAAACGAATCAAAAAAATGATTTAAAAAGGAAAATGAACTAATTTATGAGTTGTGCATGTGTGTAGGTCACAACACGGGAGGAACAATCGCTCCGCTACGGCACAATGAGTACTAGTACCGTAGTTGTACATCTATCTACCATTAATGATTATTATTATTAACGCTCTGTTCTTCGCGAGTCATTTACGTTAGCATTTATAAATGATTGGAAAATCTGCGTACATTGGTACGACTCTGAAAGTACTTTGCTCTGTTGATATCTGGGCCTAAGGCCAATCTGTAAACTCTGCTAGGCCTAAGGCCGATCTATAAACTCTGCTAGGCCTAAGGGCAATCTATAAACTTTGTTAGGCCTAAGGCCGTTCTGTACACTATTAGGCTTAAAGCCACTCTGTATGAAATCTAGGACTAAGGCCGTTCTGAAAACATTTACGGAATAAGCTTAAGCACATAACCTCTGCATTTGTATACATTATAATGCAATTTAACTATTGAATTTTATAAGAACTATTATTCACTGAGCATCACTCATTCCGTGTTCTGTCTGTCTCTGTAGGTAACTAGCCTGCAAGTCAGCCTTAACCCGTCATGCCCGTTTCTCTTTTGTCAACGTTAGTGCGTCCAGGCACCTAAATGAAGCCCATTTGTTTTGTGGAATCTTTGCAGAGCTTTTAGCTTGGTGCACTGAACCTTTTATCTGATGTTGTAAAACATGATATACTTCCCTTATCATGGTTTTGTCATACCGTCAGACTTAGGAGTGGGTCTGTATATTTGTATATATATAATTATGGATGTGTTTACCATGCGCTAAATTACCTGTCATAAAGTGTTTGATCCTGGCATGTTAATATTAGCTCAATGGATGTTACTTTACGTCGTTAAATTCTTCCGTTCAGGCCCCATACGTTATACATACTGTTTTTGATATCCGTTTCTGAAGTGATCATACCCGAACTTTTAGGGACGGGTTTGGGGGTGTGACAAGTGGTATCAGAGCACTAGTTGCTATCTCACACACGAATCCATTGAGCCATAGGATGTCTAGAAAAGACTTAGGCATCATGCATAATATTCTGAATGCATATGGAAAGATTGATGGCAACGTTGATTGTATGTGTAACATCTACTAACTCCAATGATTATGGTCCATGTCCATTGTATATCTCTTGTGTATATTGTAAATGATTGTTTTGTAGAATATGGTGAGGACAAGAACGGAAGACTCAGAAGATGCTACTTTTGCACGGTTGGACAGAATGGAAAGAATGATCTTGGAAATGGCAGAGACCCTACGACAACAACAACAATAGCCACAACCATAACCGCCACCACCACCGGTACCTCCGCTTGTGGTATAGGATTTCCATGCTGAGGACCGGACTATTACCCTCACGAGGGAATTTAAGAAGATGAAGCCACCATCGTTTAAAAGAGGAATAGAACCAATGAAGGCTGAAGCATGGATGTTGGGGATAGAAAAGCTGTTTGAAGTTTTCCCTTGTACCGAAGCCCAAAAAGTACAACTTACTACCTTCACTCTTGAAGACGAAGCGCGGAGGTGGTGGATGCTTACGAGAACCGTGCATCAAGGCTTGACATGGGACAAATTCTTGGAACTATTTTATGACAAGTACTTCCCTCAAAGTATGCGAGACAAGAAGGTGACAGAATTTGAAACTCTCAGACAAGGAAATAAGACCGTTGTAGAGTATGAAGCCCAATTTGCAGAATTAGCTCGGTTTGCACCTCATATGGTGGACACAGATTATAAAAAAGCACAAAAATTTGAGGGGGGACTACGGACTTCTATCCTTGACCAAGTCAACATGTTAAAGTTACCCACCTATGTTGATGTATTGGAGAGGGCTGTTATAGCAGAAGGAAACATTGTTGCTCAAAATCGGATCTCCGAATGGAAAGGAAAGAGGCAGAACACACAATTGTCAAAGGGGTCAACCACTCCACCTAGCAAGAAACAAAACTCAGGGACTTCTAGTATTTCCACCTCTACTCAAGATTCAATTCCTATTTGTTCAGAATGTGGAAAGAAGCACCGGGGGACTTGCTATCGATTGTCTGGAGCATGTTTTAGGTGTGGCAAAACGGGTCATCTGGTAAGGGATTGTCCTCAAAGGAATCAACAAAATGGAAGTAGGGCTACTACAAGTTCAGTAGGGTTTACACCAGCTCCCAACACCAAGTCAGCTGTCAAGCCTGTTAATAACAAAGACCCCGCAAGACAGGGGAGAGTGTTTGCATTGGTTCCGGGAGATGTGCGAAATGCTGCAACAGTGGTGTCAGGTACATTTATTGTTCACGGTCATTCTGCTCATGTATTGTTTGATTCTGGTTCTACCTATTCCTTTGTGTCAAAGTTATTTGCTCAAAATTTAGATAAATCTAAGGAAGTATTATCTTACATGCTATGTGTGTCTTCACCTTTGGGAGACTCTATGATCTGTACTTCTGTATACCTTGCTTGTGAACTCCTAATTGGGGATATCCGGGTATATGCCAACTTATTGCCTCTTGACATGACTCACTTCGATATTATTCTAAGTATGGACTGGCTGAGTGAATATTGTGCAACTATTAACTGTTTGACTAAGCAAATCAGTTTTCGTTCTCCGGGACAATCAGAATCTACCTTTCAGGGACGTGGAGTGACTTCTCCACCTTATTTGATTTCTGCAGTAAAGGTTTGTAAATTAATTCAGAAAGGGTGTCAGGGGTATTTATGCAGTGTTTTGGAAGGGCAAGTGATGAATGGGAGTACTGACATGATTCCAGTTGTCTGTGAATTTTTGGACGTTTTTCTGGAAGAATTACCGGGGGAGTTAGTAGACCGTGAAATCGAGTTTACAATTGAAGTGGCGCTGGGAACTCAACCCATTTTTAAGACTCCGTATAGAATGTCACCAGTTGAAATGAAGGAATTAAAGATTCAGTTGCAAGATTTACTTGATAAGGAGTTCATTCGCCCGTGTGTCTCTCCCTGGGGTGCACCAGTTTTGTTTGTGAAAAAGAAAGACGGAACACTCCGATTATGTATAGATTACAGGGAACTTAATAAGGTAAGGACCAAGAATAAGTACCCATTGCCACGAATCGATGATTTGTTTGACCAGCTACAAGGGGCACAAGTCTTTTCGAAAATTGACTTACGGTCTGGATACCACCAACTGAAGGTCAAAGCTGACGACGTTGAGAAAATAGCTTTTCGAACCCGATACGACCATTATGAATTTCTGGTTATGCCCTTTGGAGTTACTAACGCAGCAGCAGCGTTTATGGATTTGATGAACCGTGTCTTCAAGCCCTATCTGGATGAGTTTGTAGTGGTATTTATCGATGACATCCTCATTTACTCGAAGAATGCAGAAACTCACGAGAATCATCTTCGTTTAATTCTTCCAACACTTCGAGAAAAGAAATTATATGCAAAGTTGAAGAAATGTGAATTCTGGCTACATGAAGTAGCATTCTTGGGACATGTGATAACGAAGGAAGGCGTATCTGTGGATTCGCATAAGATTGAGGCAATCGTGAATTGGCCAACTCCTACCAATGTGACGAAGGTGCGTAGTTTCATGGGATTAGCCGAGTATTACAGGAGGTTTGTTCAAGATTTCTCCAAAATCGCTGTACCGCTTACACAACTGACTCAAAAGGGAGTTGCGTTTGAATGGTCAGAACATCAGGAATCTGCTTGCCAGGAATTAAAAATGAAGTTAACTACAGCTCCGGTTCTTGCTTTACCATCTGATACTAAAGGATTCGTGATCTATAGTGATGCTTCCCATAAAGGACTCGGCTGTGTACTTATGCAAAATGGAAGAGTCATCGCGTATGCTTCCCGACAGCTCAAACCCCAAGAAAAGAATTATCCCACACATGATCTTGAGCTAGCAGCGGTGGTTTTTGCTTTGAAGATATGGCGGCACTATCTGTATAAGACTACCTGTGAAGTTTATATTGATCATAAGAGCCTCAAGTACCTTTTTACTCAGAAAGAGTTGAATATTTGACAACGGCGATGGTTAGAACTTATTAAAGATTATGATTTGCAGATCCATTACCATCCTGGTAAAGCCAATACGGTAGCAGACGCACTTAGTCGGAAAAGTATGGGAAATTTGGCGAATTTGTTTGCGGAACAAAGAGAGTTATTGGTTGAATTGGGTAAAATGAATGTAGACCTTGTGGTGCATGAACGGGAGGCCATAGTAGCAGCAGTGATGGCCCAACCGACATTAATTGAAGAAGTCAAACTATGTCAGATGGAGGATGAAACTCTGAAGAGGATATGGTGAATTCGGGATTCAATTTGGTGAATTCAGTACTCAAATTTCACGGCAGATTATGCGTTTCCAATGTGTCAGAAGTCAAGCAGAAATTGATGGAAGAAGCGCATGCCTCGAGATTTTCATTGCATCCTAGGAGCACTAAGATGTATCAGGATTTAAAACAAAATTTTTGGTGGCCAAATATGAAAAAGGACATGGCGGATTTCGTCTCCAAATGTTTGCAATGTCAGCAAGTAAAGGCAGAGCATCAGAGACCGGCAGGGTTATTGCAACCCCTTCCAATCCTGGAATGGAAGTGGGAACATCTGACCATGGATTTCGTTGTAGGGTTACCACGGACTCCTCGGGGTATGAATTCTGTATCGGTCATTGTAGACCGGTTAACTAAGTCTGCTCATTTTCTACCTATGAAAACTCAGTAAAATGCGAACAAACTTGCTGTAATCTATGTAAATAAAGTTGTGAGGCTCCATGTGGTCCCGATTTCAATAGTATCAGATAGAGATCCAAAGTTTGTATCTAGATTCTGGCAGAGCCTACAAGAAGCAATGGGCACAGAATTAAAGTTTAGTACAACTTTCCACTCTCAGACAGACGGACAATCCGAGAGAACGATACAGACATTAGAAGATATGCTCCGAATGTGTGTTCTGGATTTCCAGGGAAGTTAGGAAACTCATCTACTGTTGGTAGAGTTCGCGTACAATAATAGTTACCATTCGAGTGTTGGAATGGCACCTTATGAAGCTCTGTATGGCAGACCATGTCGCTCCCCCGTGTGTTGGACTAAAGTTGGAGACAGGGCATTGTTACGGCCTGAAATTGTTCAGTTGACAACAGAAAAGGTTAAAATTATCAGAGAAAGACTGAAAACCACCCAAAGTAAATAAAAGAGTTATGCAGACAATCGACGGAGAGATTTGGAATTTGAGGTGGGTAATCATGTTTTTGTGAAGGTTACCCCGATGAAGGGGCATCTAAGGTTCGGCAAGAGGGGTAAGTTGACACCCCGATATATTGGTCCATTCCAGATTCTGGAGAAAGTAGGTTCTGTGGCTTACCGAGTTGCTCTTCCTCCAAGTATGAGTCAAGTGCATAACGTGTTCCACATCTCTATGCTTCGAAGCTACCTTCCGGATCCGTCTCATGTTATTGATTACCACCAAATTGTGTTGGGTGATAAGTTGACTTATGAAGAAAGACCAATTCGGATTTTGGATCAGCAAGTGAAACAACTGCGAAATCGAGAAATCCCTACGGTGAAAATTGAATGGAAAGAACATTATGGGACTGAAGCTACTTGGGAAAAAGAAGAAGAAATGCAATACCAATATCCGTATCTGTTCCTATCCTAAGGTAAAACAAGTTCGAGGGACCAAACTTATTTAGGGGGGAGAGTATAATAACCCAACCCTCATACATGTTTTCTGGTATACTTTCAGTCTCCTATTCTGTGCATTTATATGCTTATTGTGAAATTTCGTGCGAAATGAAGTCTAATTAAGTGAATCTTATGAATATAGACTCATATCTGTCTAATAGGAGAAGTATCTGTTACAATTATAATGTTTGGATCAGAAATTGAAAGCCATAGGAGCTTAATAATCTGAAATTGATTTTATATTTAAGATCAGCATGATTTTTAAGTCATAATATGATTTTCTATGAAATTTTGATTTGGAACGACTAAACTGATTGAATTTCGTCCTTATTCACTTTTTATATTTATATCTATGTTCTTCAAACATTTGGTTGAGAGCCATTACACAAATATCTCCTGAGAGAGAGAATTGAAGAGGTGAATTAGAAAGGAAGAGGGGTGGTTCAACAAGGAGGAGGATTGGGGGATTTGAGAGGGTTTATGGAAATTTAAGCTCAAGGTATGTAAACTTCACCTTAAATAAACTCTTTCTTGAATTTGAGTAAACATGCCCTTCTATTTGGGTGAGCTAGGGTTTAGGGTTGAAGTGTTGTATGTGATCATTATTTAATTGGGAAGTTATACTTACCATATAGTTGTCTTGGGAACTAATTTGAACTATATGAACAAATTGCATCTTGCTTCCCTGTTATTTCATATGGGAACTCATTTATGTATTGGATTATGTGATTAGATGGCTATATATATATGTATATGTTTAAGTGAACTCAAAAATAATTAGAACTTTTGAGAGCAATGAAGGCTTGATTGAACTTGTGATCCATATTTATGTGATGTTAAGCCATATTCTTATGCTAAATTTACCTATTCTGAGCAATATAAGATGTCTACCAAGTTAGGTGTTTACTTGAATTTCGGACTGCACAAACAAGGTAGAATCGCCGCACATGCGGGGCTCACTGCCGCACGTGCGAAAAACAGGGGATTTTGGGATTTGGCTACTGGAAAAAAGGCACGTGCGGGACCTCATAGCCGCACGTGCGGGAACCACTGCCGCACGTGCAGGGCTCACAGCCGCACGTGCGGCCTATGTTGAGAAATTTTGCCTGCTCTGTTTTACGTGCTTGACCCTCTGATATTATTGAAATCTGTATCTGATGCCTTCAAATGTTTGTAAATTCATTCGAAGCGAAACGAATCAAAAAAATGATTTAAAAAGGAAAAAGGAAGTAATTTATGAGTTGTGCATGTGTGTAGGTCACAACACGGGTGGAACGATCGCTCCGCTACGGCACAGTGAATACTAGTACCGCAGTTGTACAACTATCTGCCGTTAATGATTATTATTATTAACGCTCTGTTCTTCGCGAGTCATTTACATTAGCATTTATAAATGATTGGAAAATCTGCGTACATTGGTACGACTCTAAAAGTACTCTGCTCTGTTGATATCTGGGCCTAAGGCCAATCTGTAAACTCTGCTAGGCCTAAGGTCGATCTGTAAACTTTGCTAGGCCTAAGGCCAATCTGTAAACTTTGTTAGGCCTAAGGCCGTTCTGTACACTATTAGGCTTAAAGCCACTCTGTATGAAATCTAGGCCTAAGGCTGTTCTGAAAACATTTACGGAATAAGCTTAAGCACATAACCTCTGCATTTGTATACATTATAATGCAATTTAACTGCTGAATTGTTTAAGTACTATTATTCACTGAATTTCGCTTATTTCGTGTTCTGTCTATCTCTGTAGGTAACTAGCCTGGAGGTCAACCTTAACCCGTCATGCCCGTTTCTCTTTTGTCAACCTCAGTGCGTCCAGGCACCTAAATGAAGCCCATTTGTTTTGTGGAATCTTTGCTGAGCTTTTAGCTTGGTGCACTGAACCTTTTATCTGATGTTGTAAAACATGATATACTTCCCTTATCATGGTTTTGTTATACCCTTAGACTTGGGAGTGGGTCTGTATATTTGTATATATATAATTATGGATGTGTTTACCATGTGTTAAATTACCTGTCATAAAGTGTTTGATCCTGGCATGTTAGTATTAGCTCAATGGATGATACTTTACGTCGTTAAATGCTTCCGTTCAGGCCCCATACGTTATACATATTGTTTTTTATGTCCGTTTCTGAAGTAATCATGCCTGAACTTCTAGGGGCAGGTTTGGGGGTGTGACAGTTTGGATATGCACTTTTTGCCGATTAGAGAATCCATTTATTCAGCTCCCACACAAAATTAGAAACATTCTTAATGTGTCATCTCGTATTGATTTAATGGATTCCATTTTTCATATCTATTACAGTATTATTATTGTTATTATTGGTGACAAATGAGATGATATCCAGATTTTAAGACACAAAATTCTCTATGTCCGAAAGAGTCTAATTATTTTTCCTATGCATAAACCAAGTGATTTGATTTTTAATTAAATTTAAATAAAATTGCGATGCGTAGCTACGAAGAATATAATAGAGGGACACACTTTCTGAGAAGATGCTTCTAGCCCGTAGCCCCAATCCGCTCGTACATACTAATGCTCAATTAAATGAAATTTCATTTAAGAATATTGGTTCGAAAAGTAATGTGTTAAACATATTTTTTTAAGGATAAATTATACTGATAATTTTTATATTTTGTTTTGTGCGTCATTTTAGTCATCATACTTTCAATTAATTCAATTTTAATTTTAAATTTTAAATTTTATATCAATTTGGTCTAACTGATATCGCCGTTAGTACTTTTGATAGAAAATTATCACTGAATTAGTTAAAGTTAAGTTACTGAGTTAAATAAATTTATAATTTTGCCTTAAAAAATATGACATATTTTACTTATGTACATATTTTTCATTAAAAAATACTTACAATTGTAAACAATTAGACTAAATTGAGACAAAATTATACATTTAAAATCAAAATCGAACTAATTGAAATTATAAAGACTAAAATGATACAAAGACTAAAATATAAGAAATTTTCACATAATTTACCCTTTTTTAAAACTTATTAAGTTTTCAAATTAAATTTTAACAACAAATTACCCGACTCAACTCATTTCATTTGCAGTATCTTATAATTTCAGCTAATCAAAACAATGATTAAAGCAATGGAAACCGAGAGAAGTTATTCCTACTCCTAGAGCAATTCTATGGCCATGTTTGGGACGTGAAATTTTAGTCCTTTTTAGGTTAAAATTAAGAAGAAGAAGAAGAAGAAGAAGAAGAAGAAGAAGAAGAAGAAGAGAGAGTAAAATAGGTTAAAATAGTCAATAAGATAAAATATCACATCAAATTCATAATTATTTTAATTTTTCTCTTACAAATATCACATCTAACTATAAAAAAATCTAATAATCTTTCCAAATACAAAAATTTTAACCTACTAAAATAACTAAAAATTAAAATAACCTATTAAAATAGTAATTTTCCAAACACTCACTATGTGAGATGCTTCAATTAATAATTATTAGTCTATATAATGGATAAATCAATTTTCTGTTGGCATTTTGAACAACATTATAAAAAAATAAATAAAATAAAAAATTATTTAGTGACGAGATTGAATCATTACTTCAGAATCACATGATATGAACATTTATGTCACACATTTTCTCATATAAATTGTC